AGAAAGGACTTGAGTTTTCAGAGCTGTCTATCTAGGCAATGCAGAGTAAAGCTCCCTAACTATACACATCACCTTCTCACACACATATACCCACACCCACTCAAGAAACCGACACCTTTCCTGCCACCAGGAAATCAACAGGGATCAACGAGAGTCACCCAGATGATGTGTGTTAGCTAAACGTGTTGTAACTTTGACTTTTAAGAAAACCCTTTATTATGTGTAGCTACCTAGTTGGAGGCAGGGTGGAAAAGAATTAGGTACTGTAAACAATTTTGAATGGATCTGAGAGCCATCAGAAGGACTGTCAGGTATGATCAACCAGAAAATCCTTTTGTGAGGGGGTATCTATGCTGATAAATCAAACATATCAGAGGACTCCACTAGATATATCTGGCAGAGGACTTGGAAGAAAAGTTAGAGCTCTGAGACCCAGACAGGAGAATATGTCTGCCCAAGAGGATCAAAGGAAAAACTGGATTGTTAGAAATGTAAGGTGTTCTCTTTCCTTTTCATTGAACTAAGATGAGGGATTCTTATCCAGATTACTTTATGCAAAGCTTAACCCCAGATTTATGCAAATCTTTTCTTTTGTTTTAAAATGCTTCCCTCTATTTTAATAAATCTTTCTTCAGCTAAACAGGTCTTACACAATTGCCTGAGTAATTTTTTGCAGACAACTATGAAAAAAGCTAAACCTCTGAGGAGAGGCCAAGAAAGGAAAAGGGTTCTGAAACCATACCCCACTTGTATGTCTCCATCAACAGGCTATGGGCCAAAGAGATCCTATCCCAGAAGATGTGTCATGTGCAGAGTTGTGGTCAGACTGACACACAGGAAAACACTTAAGGACCAAAGTGGAGACATGAGTCGAAGGGGGACTAGTGACACTGTATGAAAAAATTAAAGTCAATACGATATTGTAACAGGACTTGCTGGCCCTTTAAGGGAGACTGTTAGCCCAACAAGGCCCGGTTCCCAGGTCAGCCCAGCATGAAGACATTCCAGGAATTCTAGCTTCCAAGCTGATGGGAGCTAGAGACCTGACAGTGAGTCATAGTGGGGAAGGGAGCTGGACTATAAGTTAATTCCCTTTCCATAGTGTGATAGGAAACAGCAAGAGAGTGTGCTGTGTGGTGGTTCTCCCTGCTGAGAAACTCTTGGGGGGAGAAAGGGCTTCGGGGAGGGGATGGGGAGTGGGAAGGGAAATAATGAACTTGAGCTCTGCATCTCCCAACTGGAAAAGGACTTTCTAGAAGAAGCCTATAACCTTAGGAGGCTAGTAGTTATAGCCACTGGGTACTCTGGGCATACTCTGAGGGAGGGCCCATGAAGGGAGTGAGGTTGGAGGAGACACCTGCTTTTATCATATAGGCCCTTTTATGTATTTGAAGGAGGGAGGGAGCTCCCCTATGACTGTGTGGCAACACCTGGAGATGGCGTACTTATATCCTTGTACCAGGAGATGTGAACCCCTGACAGAAGGGGAGAAATTCATATGGATCCTGGAGAGAGGATTGTAGCCTGGGGAATGAGTAGCTGAGCGAAAGGTTGCTTTGGTTGGAGTGTGTCTGTGTTTTTTTGTTTTGGGTTTTTTTTTTTCCTTTTGACTTTTGTTTGCTCTGGAAGGGATGGAGTTTTTGGATTAGCCAGAAAACAAAACTACCCATGAAGAAGGGAACTGAGGCAGCGGATGCATCTCTGCATGGGAGAGGTAAGGTTCCCCATTACAGATGCATTGAACCAGTAAGACAACAAAAACAATGGAAGTATAGAAGAAGACAAAAATTGCAAACTGCTGCACAATTTATATCAAAGGTTGTAGGACAAAAATTATTATAATACTGAGTAATTTGAGGAAAAATATATTCCAGTGTAACTAAAGATTGTCATAATATTACAGATAGACAATTGAGAAATGTTAAGACTGAATTCTTATTTTATCTCACCCACTTTTCCCTATATTCCTAATCTGGGCAAGATTGTGCTCGTCTTTATGATTTTTCTAGATTAGGAAAAGAGGATGAAGTTAAATTGGAAGTTAAGTGTCTTAACTCACTCAATTTTTTCTCCTAATCTAGACAAACTATGTGGCACTCTCTATAGAGCAAAAAAGGTACTTATGTCAGTTGTTAACCCAATCTGATCTGCTTAACTTGGCTGAAAACCCTGATTAGCACATGCGGACACAACTTCAGACAGTTTTAGCTGGTTGTGCTGTAGTCAAGGTAGGAACACGACTGAATTAAGTTAACTCTGTTGAGGTAACTCAGTAGAAAAAGCACCTTTCTGACTATGGACAGGCCCTTTGTTGGTACACGCTGGTCTTGTGTTGATAATAATTTAAAGATGTGATGTTAAATTATGCTAGCAAGTTTGAGCTAACACATTCTAAAATACTAGTCAAGACTAAGCACATTTTTCTACTCTGGTACATGCTAAACTGCTTTAATTAAAGCCCAGGGGTAGAAGGAGAGAGATCAAACCCACTAACCTCATTTAACATCATACCTAGTTAAATACTAATTAAAACGAGGAGAAGGGAGAATGAGTAAGGTGCAAGGAGCCTTCTCACTCCCTTGAGTGGCCCATTTATGGATCAGGCACACTTGCAGTCCCTGAGTACAGATAAGTTTAAGGACTGCCCCCCATTGGAGTGCCTATGGAGTGAAGCTGGAATATCAGCGCATGGGAAGAATGCTGCACGCTCCAAAAGGTGTAGCAGCAGGTATGTTGATTCTGAACTTCTGGGAGGCATTCTGACAACAGTGCCTTAAAGTAAAATGCCTTAAAGTTCACTTCAGGATGACAATGAACTTGGACTCTGCTCAGTGTTTAGAAGAAAACACTTGAAAGTCTTTGAAACCACAAGGACCTGAAAGAAACAATACTCATTCTTGGAATTCAGGAATAATTTTAGCGATAAACAAAAACTGGCTGTAACTCCCCACCTCAGCCCTCACTTCAGCTGCAACGAGCTGAGAGGAGAGGAGTAACTGCTTTCTGTGCAATCACATTGTATTCTTGCTGTCAGAAAAGAAAGGAGTATAAAGCCTATCACACAGCAGAGCTCAGAATAATCCAGAAAGAGAGTGAGAACATGGATTGGGTAAGTAACTTTCTTCCCATGTACAGCAGTTGACTCAACTCTCTTACGTTATGTCAGCACGGACTTGACATTAAAGCTGAGCTTCAACAGTAAGTGGAGACCATCCTTACCCACTCCCCTTTGTCCAGGACAGCACCCTCTGTGTGCGCCTCCCACAGCTAGTTTAAACAAATCTTGGCCCCCTGCAAAGTGTTTACAGGGCCTCTGGCTGTGTGCTACCCAACTTCCACCTACCCAAATCTGTCCCACCTCCTCTGACAACTCAGGTGGAGGTTTCAGTCCCATGAAGGTCCATGTATATGGGGTGGGAGGAGATAGGAGAATATTGGATAGAGGCCTTCTGTTAAATAGGACCGGGGGCATCCATGTGATGTGCTCCTGCCAGGGATGTGATAACAAGGGACAGATCCTGATTCTCCAGCAGCTTTTGTTCCATGCCTTTGACACTTGAGCATGAGCAGCAGACATGACACTAGCATTACAACTGGTCCCTGGTCAGCTGCTGTTTTGGCAGCACTGAGTGACTCAGTTCTGGAGCATCTTACTATGTTTTTTGGTTCTGTATGTCAGGGGCATTATTTCTGAGGAAGGACAAAGTTGTGTCAGCACATAGAACATGCTATGTGATTATATGATATCTTGCAATGTTGTGGGGGGATAAAGTGGAAAACAGACCTATGAAAAGTTGGGTGGGGGAGCAGGCAACTGTCCCTGCTGCCCCATAATAACAAAATGACCTCCCTGCTATATGGTAACTGCACTGTAACTGAAAAGATGTTCCCTGCCTGAGTCTATAGGAGACAGCCAGATCTACCCCACAGAGCCAAACCTGAGTACCTGAGCTCTAGAGAGATCTCCAGGTGGAGAAGAAACCCTCCCCACAAGGCAGTAATAGGCAGTGGTTCTGATCTGAGGAGGCTGCTCCAGCCTATTGGTATGTTAAGCTTGTAGGCTGTCATTGCAAATTTTAGGGTTTTTTTCTGGTTTTGCTTGTAGGCTAGGGGGCTCTTTGGAGAAGCATGTAAGCCTGGCCTAGCAGCAATCAGTCTGCAGCCAACCAGCCTATAGTAAGGTGGGGTGAGTTATGACTCTCTGTCTTAAGGAACAGCCTTCTTTGTCTCTCTCTGTTTGGGGTTCTTATGTGTTATCATTCTGAAATCTAAGAATGAAAGTAATGTTTCATTGCAACCTTCCAGCAAGAATATTTGTTTTTAATCTAAGTTCTGTGTGCGTACATGGAACATAGACTAACCTCCAAGGTGCTTTGGGCAACCCCTCTACAATGGGGTGGGTAGAACACAGAGGAGCTGTGCAGTAGTGAAAACTCAGAACCGTCCCTTCCTCCTACCCTCACCAGCTCTGCTCTGTGCCATGCATGGGGTGAACACATCTTGTGTAGTCCTCAAATCCATCTGCTCCAGCCAGTGCATTATTTCCAATGCCAAAAGGACTTCCAAAGCCATAGTGGCTGGATCTGGATTGTCCCATAGTGAACATACTTCAGATGAGAGCCTCCTCCCCAGGGGGCCAAGTCAGTAGAAGCTGTATGTTGTCAGAAGATGTAAGTTACTTTCCCCTGGACAGAGGCAGTAGAAGTTGTGCTGAGTTGTCTCCTTTAGGATTCACTGCTCTCTGGATAAGATGGTTGGAACTTGGAACTGAGTTCAGCTTGTCTTGGATGGGAGATGAGTCTCTCTGGATCAAGCCAGGAGAAGCCACATGCACATCTTAAAAATATGGGATTTGCTGGTGATTTTTCTGCATTCTCAGCTGTTGCAGTTTATTATTCTTAAGGTTTAAAGAAAAATATTCTGTTTAGCGAGGATTTAACAACCAATCTTTCTTTCACTTTCAGATACAGGATCTATGGGATCTCCTTACTTCAGCAATAATGCTAGAGCCTGGGGATCTGATTGAATTTCAGAGAATGGGATGCCAACCCTGGGGCATCTATGTGGGAAAGGGACATGTGGTCCACTTCACATTTCCGGGTAAATAAGAATAAAAAGATGAATCCTTCCATAGATTCATCACATAATCCAAAATTATCCTCATCTGATGTTTTCACCCTTGTATAAAAATGATCTCATTGCAGTTCCCAGTCGGACAGGTGTGCACAGCACATGACCCATCATTACAATTTACACTAATTGGTCCGTTGGCATTCTCATCAGATAGATGAAGGCCTGAATGGGTCCTGGAGATTGAACTCTTGTTTCACCCAAGTGATGTCCGCTCTAGGTATGTGGCTAAAGCATACTGAGGTTGTTGGGTGGCAAGATGGGGGAAGCACACTTGTGAAAAGGCAATAATCAAAACTGTTCTGTCTACTCTTCCTCCTGCCTGTGATCCTCTGATCTTCAAAGCTGTACGTAGTCTCTGAGCCTTTCTTGATGTATCTCAGAGTCAGAAGAGCCCTAGCAATTTCTCACCTTAAATCACAAACCAAAAGTCACTGATCAGTCAGAGCTCTGCTAGCCCTTCTTTGGCTCAGCCACAGCTAGAGAAGATTCAGTCTCCACAATAAGCTCCAAGCAGTTTGGGCCCAGAATTTGCTCAGTTCAGATTTGGGCCCCAGACCTGACCCTTCCACCTCTCCCTCAACATTTTAGTTCATCAGTAGCGCTTAGTGTCTCAACTCTATCTAGCCAACGTACTCATGTGGCCTCCATTACCACAGTATCTGAGAACCTCACAATCTCTACTATATTTACCCTTCCTTTAAAGTAGGAAAGTACTATTATCCCCATTTTACAGATGCGGAACTGAGGCAGAGAGAGAGACTGTGCCCCAAGTAAGCCAAATGTATCATGGGAAGCCTATGGAATAACAGAGTCTTGAATTCAGATCTCCCAAATCCCAGCTTTCCACCTAACCACCCAATTACCTTTCCTCTTACTTCCAACAGGCGATACTGTATGCTTCGCATATCTCAGTCAGGAGTTGCTCTTCTTGGGCCAACCAAGAGAAGCAGCGCTAAGTATGTCTTTTCTAGATATCACTCTTAGAGCTGGCTGAAATTTTTTGGACAAATATCTTATTCACTGAAAAACAGTTTGGGGTCAACCAAAACTATTTACCAAATTTGGGTCACATTGGAGAAAAGTTTCAGCTTAAAAATAATTTTTAAAAAGTTGAAACATTTTGTTTTGACATTTTCTAAACAAAACATTTTGACTTGGTTTTGAAATCTAGCTCATGTTTTTAAAATAACGAAACTAAAGTAAAAAATCTACCCAAAGACTAAACAAAAAGTAATGAAGGAGTTTCATTCTAAATCTAACAAAACATTTCATTCAGCCCAAAACAAACTTTTTGGGGGGGATTTTTTTCCCTCCAGTTTAGCCACTGAACCAAAAAAAAAAAAAAAAACCACTTATTTGCAAGGATCTAGTCACTCCTGTCAGATCTGACACTTGCCCTGGGCAAACTGCCAACCCTCTTTCACTTCTCATTGGCTGTCTTTTTTTTTTTTTTTTTTTTTTTTAAAGAGTTGGAAGAGGGATTGAACAATATGCTTAATGGAGAATTCTTCAAAGCCAAAGTGCAAAAGGAGCGTCTGAGGAACGTGGCTCATGTTTCAAGCTATGCTGTAAACAACCAATTAGATAAAAAGCACCCTCCATTACCTCTTCCTCATGTGGTAAACAGAGCTGAGCACCTGGAGGGGAAGAATATAGACTACAATCTAGTTATGTCTAACTGTGAACATTTTGCCACTATGATGAGATATGGCATTGCTGAATCACAGCAGGTGAGTCTGGTTCCTTCACCTGATCTCCATTTAGAAATGACTCCCTAGGGGCATGATTCTGTTTTGATTTGCATTTGTATTACATCAGTGGAATGATTTCAAGATTGACATCAGGATAACAGAACAGAAGCAGGCCTTAGATATTTATAGAATATAAAGCAATATTGGTACTCTGGTCAAACAAGGAACAAATTAAGGTATCTGACTGTTACATAATAGAGACAAGATGGATGAGGTGATATCTTTTATTGGATCAACTTGTATTAGTGAAAGAGACAAGCTTTCCAGCTCCACAGAACTTTTCAGGTGCGACAAACAAACAGAGAAATGCTCTCAAATTGGGTGCAGGGCCTCACTTTGCTTGACCAAATATGGGATAAACCAGGGAGACAAAAGATGACTTTGAAACAGTTCAGTGCCAGTCATTTCTGAACACTTTCTCTGATTTCATGGGACATCCCTCCCGTGATGATCCTGGAATCAGAAAAAAACAAAACCAGCTATGTTTTGCCCTTCCCCACCCACCCCTAATGGGAAAGAGTATAACTGACAGGTCTGTATTAGATACAAAAGTGGTTAATTCTTAGATTCTAGCTCACGTGAATCTTCATTCTGATTATGAACTTGGCTTTTTGTTTTAGGCAGTTTACTTTGAAGTGGATGAAGGTTTTGTGAAGCAGATAAAGAAATGGCTAGCTGAAATCAAGGAGTAGCTTGTGGATCGGTGAGTATGCACTATGGCATTTAAATGGGCACTGACTTCTTAGATAGAGATCAATTGCACCTACATTGATGCAACATACAGCCCATCATACACAAGTACCAAAGGTAAATTATTTATCTATATGTCCCTGAACAACTTTCACATTATTGGTAGGAGGGTCATCTTCCCTACTCACAAAAGGAGAAGATCTGAGCCCCTTCCCCATTAATGGTGGGTTTGTGGAGGAAGGACATGATCCTTTCTCTCAACATAGGCCCCACATAACTAAGTCCACTTACACTAACAAAGGAATAGTCTCTCTTCTCCCATAAAATCTCTGCCCTCTTCACACAAATGACGATCAGTCTCCCCCAGTGCAGCCCACATGTTCATGAGTGGTGTCCAAGACTCCTTCATACATTACTAAAAAAGGGTAAATTCTCCCTCACTACCTCCCTGAGCATGAATATTGAATGCAATAATCATCAAATTTGGGGACTGGAAAAAGCTCTTGGAAGTATATTAAATGGCCTTGGTTATTTACTCCGGACACAATGGAAAATTGGATTGCTAGAGAAAGAACCTCTTCTACCTGAAGCAGCATTCAGAGGCTAGGAATAACTGACTTGAAAAAACAAGTAAAATACTTACTAATAACCCGTGTGCACTCTCCTCCTTCTACTTTGTGGTGCTTTGGTATTCTGTATACTGAACATTTCTAAGAGCTGTGCCTATGTGTCCAGACTAGTGCTGGTCAAAAAAAAAAAAAAAAAGATAAGTATCATTCACAAAGGCTCAAAAGAAATCAAAATTTAGTTTTGTTTTAAAACTTTCCTTTTTTTCAATGTATTTTTATTTTTATTTCATTTCAGTAGGAGAGGGAACATTCTCTTACTTTTTAAAATTTTTGCACTGGACAAAGGCAGGGGTAGCAGAGAGACAGAGTAATTATATTCCTAACAAAATAACATTCAATGTTTCTGGAATATTTTAACTCTTAGTTTTGAAATTTTTCATTGAAAAAACAAAGTTTCATGCACTTTGTTTGAAAAGGCATTTTCTGTTTAAATAAGAAGTTTAAATGGAACGTTTTGACCAAGTCTAATAGATACAGCAGCCATTTTGTTCTCTGGTTGTTGCACCCTGTTAATGAGGCAACATGACTATTGTGTTGTCTCTCTCATGGAGACCTTCCTTTCCTTGTTTTCCTTGTGCTGAAATAAGTCATGTTGGACTGAAACTATATGGTTGCTATTTGTGTTTCAAAAATGATAATGTGCCTGATTCTGCTCTCAATTAGTTTTACACCAATGGAATATTGTTGACTTTAACTGAGATTATTCTTAAATTTACCATTTGTATTGAGGTAGCCCCTAGGAGTCCCCATCACAGACCAGAACCTTGTTGCACTAGGTGCTGTACAAACAAAGAACAAAAACTCAGTCCATTTCCCAAAGAACCTACAATATAAGAGCCAATAAGTAGATACGGACATGAGAACATGAAGAAAGAATGAGATAATACTGCTCAGCATGACAGACAGTGGTCGCAGCTAGAGATGGTAGAAAATGTTTTGATTGAACAGTTTTCCATTGGAAAATGCTGTCTCATGGAAAGCTAAATGTTTTGTGGGAACGTGTAGATTTTGATGGAAAAATTTCAAAATGTTTCATTTTGATGAGACTTTTTGTATTACATTGCAATAATCAATGTTATAATGCAATATAAAAAAATAGCGTCAATGTTTCTGAAACAAAATATTTCAGAATACTTCATTCCAACAACCTCCTCCCCCCAAAAGACCTGGAGATTATCTTTTCACCCTTAATTGTGACAAAAACAAATTCTGAAATCTTGAATTTTGCAGATTTGTATGGGGGCCTCCTCCCAAAGCATGAGGGACAGCATTGGGAGAAAGCACAAAGGTAGCTGTTTGAAAATTTAACAAGTGGGTGATGAAGGTTGGCCCCGTAGAGTTGCTCTTGGTTTAGACTGGTGTAAAAGGGAACAAAACCAGTAATCTTAACAGGAGTTTATGCTTATGAATACTGACAGTCCTGGATACTGATGTCCTTTATATATCCTAAGAACAGGGACAATACAGACAACAGCAGTGATAGTTACCTCACTCTACTAATGTATGCCATGCTTGCCTGTGAAGACATTACCTCTCAAAATGAGGGGAGTTTATCCTCTTTGGCCTTTCTACTGAGATCAGAGAAGGGTACCACATATTGCATAGTGGTGTTATTAAATACATGGCCACTTGGAAATGGCCTGAAACCCACTCATGTCTCACAGCTCACAAAACAAATCTCAGATACTAGAAAATTTACACCACGACTCACATGGGCTGGATGGGAAACCAGCAATCTATACTGGATGTGAAAGCCATGATTTTCCACTGCCAGGCTCCTGAGCTTGTCCTTGGACTGTAATAGCTGTAGGGCTGAGTTATGTTATATGCTCTGTCGGTAAGGTCACTCTGCTAAAATGCAGCCAGTTAGAACTATGGGATTGCTTTTACAAAGATACTTTCACCTACTCTGTTAATGTGTTCTTCCCTTCAAACAGCATGACACTCAACCCTGTGTCTACAGAAAGAAATGCCTTTTGTACAGGAGTTTCGGAGAGTAAAAAAGACAGCTAGATACTTTGCAAACTGAAACCTCTTTTCTATTCAATGCTAATCAAATCAAAATAAAAACCTAAATAGTCAAACTCCAGCCATGAAAACCCAGAGCTTCCTGGATAAATCATCAGTTCCAATATGCCTAGACCTAAATGTATTGTCCTGATGTGTCTGAGAGAATCTGCCAGTCATCTGGAGGAGAACTGGCCACAAACTGAGGGGCTGACCAAGCAGAGATAAGAGACATCAAAGACTATATCCTATAGCAAAACACTTTAAGAATCCCTTTAAGAATTAAACTGCTTAGTTCAGACCTTCCAGGGAGGGGGCTAATTATTTTGATTGTGATTTGTTGGACATATATTAAAGAGATTGACCAAAACTAATTACAGGAATCTTATTTCATATAAGTTTCACAGGAATATGTGGAATGGTTATCCTGTTTTCCTGCCCATTCTAGTCACAGCACACCACCTGCCTCAACATCGTCAGGTATTTTTATAGGTATCAGAGCAAAGAAGAGTTTGAAGGAGGGTTCTGAACAAGGACAATGAAGTGGGCTTTGGTCTCCACTTAGTCAGTTCTTCAGGGAAGAGTTTGTGTCTTCCCAATCCATCTGTTTGTACAAAGTCTAGCACAAAGGGGCTTCAGTGTCATTGGGACCTTTGGACACTACAATCAGCATATGCACTCTCCTGCAAGCACCTAAAAATATGTGCAAATACACTAGAGCCAATCAGAAAATCAAAAGCTTTCCTGCAGTAAACTCAGTGGGAAAAATCACCATTCCCATTTTTGGAGTGACCCAATTGTGCCCACACAGCCCGGGCCTAATAACACAGACTATAGAGGCTCGTCCCCTCCATCCCCCCATTTGATATTTTTCCTTATTTGTCCAAATTCCCCTTTTCTTTTTTATTTTTTAAAACTGAATATTTTTTAATAAATAAATAAAAATAAAAAAAAAATATTTTAAAATAATTAATATCTTTAAAAAAAACCACAAAAAACCCCTCTTTTTTTTTTCTCCATTAAAAAAAAAGGGTTTTTTTATATTAAAAAAAAAAACCCCAAACCCCACCCACAAAAAACAGATTGATTTGAATTTTTTTTTTTATTTGATATTTATTTTTTTTTTTATAGAGAGTAGGGGGGGGGGGGGGGGTTGGTAGGGTAGGTTGTTTCTTTTTTTTTTTTTTCCCTCCCCTCCCCCCTCCTTTTTTTTTTTTTTTTTGGTTGGGGTTGGGGGGGGGGTGGTGGGGGGGGGGGGGGGGGGGGGGGGGGGGGGGGGGGGGGGGGGGGGGGGGGGGGGGGGGGGGGGGGGGGGGGGGGGGGGGGGAGGGGATGGGTGGGTTGGGGGTTGGGTGGGTTGTTTGGGGGGGGGGGGGGGGGGGGGGGGGGGGGGGGGGGGGGGGGGGGGGGGGGGGGGGGGGGGGGGGGGGGGGGGGGGGGGGGGGGGCTTGCGCTGGGGGGGGGGGGGGGGGGGGGGGGGGGGGGGGGGGGGGGGGGGGGGGGGGGGGTGTGGGGGGGGGGGGGGGGGGGAATTTTCATTCTTAATTTAAACCATGTTTCTTTTCAAAATATTGTTTCAAAACTTTTTTTTCCCCTTTGGCATAAAATGTCATTTTGGTTTTTGGAAACTGAAAAATTTCAGGTTTCCATTTTCAGTTTTTAGATGTACAGGGGTGTCCACTTGTTTTCTCTTTATCTTCACATACTTTCTTACTTTTGTCTTTCTGGAGAAAGGGAGGGAAGAGGAAAAAAAAATTAAGAGGTGGAGGAACTTGAAAATCCAAAGCCAGAAATGGAAAAAAATTTTTTTTTCAGTTTCCAAAAACTGAACTAAAACAACCTTTTACATCAAAAAGAAATGAACAATGTCACTGCAAAGGGTTGGTCTGAAATGAAACATCAGTGATGCTGAGGCTGCAGGATTTGGCAATTTTAGAAGCTATAACGTTCACCATTTTGCTGCAGAAAAGTACCCAGCATTTTCCCTCCTTTTGACCTGCTTACAGCTGCCTCTGCCTCCCCATTAATCCCCATTTAATTGACGGAAATTAGATTACGGTGCATATTTTGTCCAATGGAGCCAGGTAGTAGGGAGTAAGGGAGCCCGATTGTACTGAGGGAATGGGGCAGTGTGAAGTGTAGGTTGAAAAGCTGCCTGGATAACAGTATGATAGCCAAGACCTAGGAGCCAACTTGGAGAAGCAGGAGTTGACCTGCTGAAGCAGGATCCACATGCTGCTTCCCTGGCACACATGGGGAGGAGTCTCTGTCCAGGGCAGCTTGGACAACATGGTAGCATCCGAGGACCAGGAAGTGGAGCTGGACCACCTGAAGAGCATAGTGAACAAAACCATCCTCAGAAAAAATCACTCTCAAAAATAATTGATGAACATTATGGCAACTAGTGTTTTCAGTTATGAGCCATGGTTGTACACATTTATGTGAGGTTGGGAGGATGGGAACAAGGGACAATTCATGGTAATGGAATAAATGGAATTTCGTGTTTGGTGCAATGGAATATAGGGCTTGTTGCCACAGAACTTGCTCTAGTTGTACCACTGAGTTCATAGTGCCTGGGTATGGGGAATATGTTAGCTCCTTTCCTGCTGAGTTTAAGGCAGGAAGTGGGTTGGGTAGGTCCTAGTATCCCCGAGAGGTGCTCTCAGATCTTCTTCCCTTGCAGAAGGGTGGGTACAGGTGGGCTCAGTTTTCTTTTTCTG